TTAGTCCATGCCTGTGGAAATTTTGTCGAGCATACGACATAACTAGCAAAGTCAGGAATATCACCCAACCCCTCCCTTAACCTTTCTACATCAACTATAATAGGTATGCCCCTACTCTTTGCCTCCTGCACTACAATCAAAGCAGTCTCATGCAGCCTTCCATCTAAGTAGACAATATTTACTCCAAGCGCTGAAGACAATTTTGATTTGGGTATGTAGACCCTCAGATATCATGGGTGGATATCCTGGAGTGAAAATGCACGTGCGAGTTTGTTTTTTTTGGTTGTCAACAATGACATATGTGAATGGTGAGTTTCCTCATTTGGACACCACCATAAAAGATGTATCAACACCATCCCTTTCAAGCTCATCAAGTATTCTTTCGCCATGCGAGTCATCAGCAACCTTAGATATGATCATTGGATTAAGACCAAGACAAATTTTATCATCCGGGTTTTATCAAAGCATTGCCAGTGTTACCACCTCCTTAAACCTCAAAGCTGGTGCTCCGAATTTTATCATCCGGGTTGGGGAATGAAGCTACAGCAGCCAGGAAGTCAACACCCGCCATTCCAACACCTCAAACAATGCGATTTTTGGGGAGCGGCGGATTCCACATTTTCAGCTTGAAACTTCAATGAATTTTAGGTAGAATAACAGAGTTTTTGAGGTTGTGCACCAAGTATTTGTGGTCAGAGAGAGAGAGAGAGATGGAAAGGATATTTGTGGTCAATATGGAAGGGAGGACTTACAGGTGCAAATTCTACATCACGCCATCTACAACTGCTATTTACCATGGGAGGGTTCGCCGACCTGCTGCCCTCTCTGCTTCGCCGGAACCAAAAACCACCGGTGAAGGTCCCAACCTCGCCGGATCTGTTGCTGCACCGCCAGATCTGCCTTACTGGTCCGTCGCCGGAAGGAGTTACTGCCTCGTATGCTCGCTGCCGTACCCACAACTCGCCGGAGAAGAACCTCGCTGCTACTCACTACCGACGATTACTACTTAGCCGCCAAGTCTCGCCATCTCGCCTCACAGGAGTCACAACAGCGCTGGTCTAAACAAGATTAGAAGAATAAGACATAAAAAGACAGAAAAGCCCTTCTAATTCACGGTCAACAAACGGCTTCATTGACGGAGGATCAAAACTATCCAACGACCAATAACAGTGTCTACTAAGTGGCAATTTTAATTATGCAGGATGAAAATTGTCAATGCCTCAATAAGTCTAGGACCAAAAATGGCATTAACTCCGGATACAATACAAGAATATTTAATTATGGTTATATTATTATTGTGCCTCACGACCATTATATACTAACAGTACTTGAAAAGAAACTCATAATAATAATAATAATATCTAAAAGTAATTAAGTGTTAATAATAATAGTAAGAATATTAACGTAAGAGTTGTAACATAGAATAAATTGTAATAATTAATAACTATAGTCTAGGATTAAATTTGGAATTGTCATGAAAGATAAACGACATCTGGTGAAATTAACTCTTAAATAAATATATATCAATTTAAATATTCTTAATATATTACAACAATTTCATTCCGTGCATCGCATGGGTGAAAATACTAGTTACATATAATAAATATGTCATTTAATTTATAGTTAACATACGTAGGTTATTTATTGGGTTTAATTTATTACCTATTTTTAATGATAAACTGTAACTCATAAACTTATTGAAGTCATGCATACATGTATTTCAAATGCTTATTAATAAGATTGCATTGTTCTTATTGAGAAAAACAAATACGACTCCGCACAAACAAAGAGCAAAGAGAACGAAAAGGAAAAAAAACAAATAGATAAAAAAAAAAATGGTGACTTTCAAGGTACATTTTTTATTAGGTTTGTTCCTGGCTTATAACACAATAAGATTTTCGTATGCTAACGAAAGTGAAAGACAAGCACGTATTGACTCACAAATATGTCCAAACTTTCACCGACCTTCTGAGGACTGTAGAATAGGAATGCTTACATATGTAATGTATGATGGAGGACCAAAAGAGTTGGGAAACGTCACGCCTGAATGTTGTTCACAGATAAGTAGATTGGGACATGATTGCTTCTTTCGTTGGTTGGCATTCGAAGGAAATTTGTATGAATCCAACTTCTCACTCACTGAGGAATTTTACTATGTTGGAGAAGATTTATGGAAAAACAAGTGTGAATTGTAAATAATCATCAATTAGACACAATATTCTGGTATGATTTGATTAACGACAGATAAATAAAAATAGCTTTAATGATTGTCATGATAGTTTTCATTTCTATTTTGTTTAAATTCTTTTATTTTCTTATTTATTCTTATTTCTATACTTAATAATTGATTTATTGTTTAAGTACTACTCTATTCATTTAATGAATGGGGACAAAAGCACACAAAACGCAAAAAATAAAATAAATTAGAATACAATACGGAGACAAGGAAAGACCAAAAGAAGCATAATATAATTGGAGTTAAAAGGATTATAAATAATACATCCAAACTTTAAACACACATATAACATCTATCATTAAAAATTCATCACACAAGTGACACAACATCACAACACTTCAGCATTTCATTTGCAAACATAGGGATAATCTCATTTCTCGATGATCTGCACAACTTTTCTGTCAAAATATCAATCTCCAAATAAATTTGTTATTAACTGTTTAAAAAAAAAAAAAAACTTATTAGTTGGCACTAGAAAAGAATTCGCCACTTTCATCTCATGAACATCATTTATTTATGAAGTTCAAACTTGTACTGATAGCTATTGTATATTTATTTTTAATTATAATAAATTAATGCATGTATTTTCATGTGTACCTTGTTAGCCCCAGCAGCAGGTTCATACCAATGAGAAGATACTGTATGGACATGGCCATAACTAGATAAGATTAAGAATCCTCTCGACGATTGGTTGTCTTGTTCTGGCAATACATTCAGCAAATCCAATCATAAATCTGAAATAACACAACAAATTAAATGCGAAAATTCAGTAAATTTTTATTAAAAAAATATGAAATATTTTTTAAGTAAATTTTGGTTGCAATTATGGAAAATACTTGTAATGATTATTTTAGCATTTTGATTGCAATTTGTTAATGTACGTAATTCGCAATTTATCATTACAATTTAACTAATTTGCCATTCACCAAACATTCTAATATGCCATGCACTATACTCCCAATCCATCACTTATTGGATAACGAAAGAAATAAAATAAATAAGGGAGTTTTGATAACACATTTGATTGAGGTTGATATATTGATTGATGTTCTGTGTTGAGAGTGGAAGAAGAAGACACACTATAAATTTATGGAATTAAATTTTAGGTTAAACAAGATATGGGTAATTTTGTCTCAAAGTTATATTTTTTTATTCTTAAAATTCATGGAATTGAAATACTAAGGGGCATGGAATTCTAATTCCAAGAAAATGAGGGAATTTCAATTCCGCAGGATTGAAATTACCTCCAACCAAACAAAGGAATTTGGTTACCTTCAGAATTATATGAGAATTATGTGGAAATGAAATTGCAATTCCTTCCAACTAAACGCCCTATTAGAAAAATTAATGGTAGGTTTGTTTATAATGGATATATGATCGAACACGGACAATCGCAGTGTAGATGTTACATCAAATGTAGTTGGCTCCTTGTGAGCACCAAACATTTGTCCTCTCAAGTCTCACCTAATGAGACGTTGAACCGTCAAGATTTACTCATTCAATATCCTATTTAGCCGAGGTGTGGAGTTAGGGGCAGAAAAAATTTGTCTTTTATAAACAAATGATAGCCTTGTGTATGCCACATCAAATGGCCTGGAATTTACTCATTTATCTTTAACGTACCTAAGTTATTTATTGTTTATTACAAATAATAAATATTTCATTTAATTTATAGTTAACATACGTAGGTTATTTATTGGGTTTAATTTATTACCTATTTTTAATGATAAATTGTAACTCATAAACTTAAAGTCATGCATACATGTATTTCAAATGCTTATTAATAAGATTGTGTTGTTATTATTGACAAAAATAAATACGACGACCCGTACAAACAAAAAGCAAAGAGTGGGGGTAACCCCAGCTAAGATGGCAAGTGATCCACACTTGTAACCACAAGGTCACGAGTTCGAATCCTTGCCTTCTTGGTTTGAGCCGGTCAGCTATGGGTAACCTAAGCTGGTTTACCTCGACCTTGTGGTCCTTTACCAGCTAGGATCACAAGACGGGGTTTACTCACACTCAAAAGAGAACGAAAAGGAAAAACAAATAGATCAAAGAATGGTGGCTTTTAAGGTATATTTTTTATTAGGTTTGTTTCTGGCCTATAACACAATAAGGTTTTCGTATGCTAATGAAAGTGAAAGGCAATTAAGCACGTATTGATTCACAAATATGTCCAAACTTTCACCGACCTTCTGAGCAGTGTAGAATAGGAATGCTTACATATGTAATGTTTGATCTAGGCCCAAAAGAGATAGGAAATGTCACGCCTGATTGTTGTTCATAGATAAGTAGATTGGGATATGATTGTTTCATTCGTTGGGTGGCATATGAAACAACTTTGTATGAATCCAACTTTTTACTCAGTGACGAATGTTTCATTTTTGGAGAATTTTTATGAAAAAATAAGTGTGAATTATAAATAATCATCAATTGGTCTCAATATTTTGGTATGATTGAATCAACAACAAATAAATAAAAATAGCTTTAATGATATTGTCATGATAGTATTCGTTTCTATTTTGTTTACATTCTTTTATTTTCTTATTTATTATTAATTGTTTTGTTTCTCAATTCTTATCTCTATACTTAATAGTTGATTTATTGTTGAAGTACTACTCGAATCATTTAATGAATGAGTACAAAAGGCACACAAAACGCAAAAATAATAATAATAATAATAATAATAATAATAATAATAATAATAAGATAAGGAGAAAAGAAATTAAAAGACCAAAAAGAAACATAATATTTTTTTAAAAATGCTACTAGCTCTATTACAATATAGTATTTCATATTCTTTCTCAACATACTGAAACATAAAAAGCCAATAACGCCTCCACTGAGGCTCGAACTCACAACCTTCCAAATGGAAGTCCAACCCGAATATCATTAGACAAAAAAAAAACATAATATAATTCAGGGTAAACGATTATAAATTATATTTCCAAACTTTAAACACATATATAACATCTATCATCCACAATTCATCACATAATATCATAAGTTCACAATACTTCAGCATTTCATTTGCAAACATAAGGATCATCACATTTCTCGATGATCTGCATAACTTGTCGGTCAAAATATCAATCTCCAAAGAAATTTGCTATTGTCTGTTCAAATTTAAAAAAGAAAAAAAAAAACAACAAATATTAGTTGGTACTAGATAATAATTCGCCACTTTCATCTCATGAACATCATATATATATATATATATATATATATATATATATATATATATATATATATATATATATATATATATATATATATATATATATATATATATATATATATGAAGTTCGAACTTGTAGTAATAGCTATTGTATTTTTGTTAATTATAATAAAATTAATGTATTTTAGTGTGTACCTTGTTAGTCCCAGCAGCAGGTTCATACCAATGATAAAGTGTATGGACATGGCCATAGCGAGATAAGATCAAGAATCTTATTGATGATCGGTTGTCCTGTTCTGGCAATACCCTTAACAGCTCCAATCGTAAATCTGAAATAACAAATCAAATTAAAATGGAAATTCAATAATTATAATTATATATATATATATATATATATATATATATATATATATATATATATATATATATATATATATATATATATATATATATATATAAACTTTTGTGTAATGCAAAATGAAATACTTTTAAAAGTAAATTTTGTTTGCAATTAATGAAAATAATTGTAATGATTATAATGCAACGCTAACCTTGCATAACATTAATTTGGTCAGATGTGCAAGTTTTGTTTTTCATGCAATCATCGTAGAATGATTTGCCACTTGTATACCCAATCTGAATTAGATAATAATATATACGATAAGCCTTAACAGCATATGGTAATAAATAGATTATATTTCTGCGGAGAATTATTTTTAAAATTCAATAAATGATATATATAAAAGACAAATTAAAATTAAAACCTCAATATAATCAAATTCCGACATGATGAAGAAAATGGGAGTTTTAATGTCTTGTTGTACATTTTGTGCGAAAAAGCACTGCAAAAACCAAAAAACATAAGTTATAACTTATAAGCAGTTATATAGATATAATCAATCAATTTATCATATAATGTGTATAATGGACTTTGGTCTGAGATATAATTTGCAGCTTTATTACCATTGCAGGAGGGAATTTGGAGGTGCAAGATGTGGGCAACATCTTAGTTGGTCTCTGATTCACGCAAACGCACCCGTTAATTAATAATAATATAACTTAAATACTATATTAAAGCCTTTAAAAAAAAAGGGCAATCACACCCCCCACTGATTCCCCAACTAATAGAGCCTAGAATTTTATAAACATAACAAACCGAGAAGAATATAGTTAAGAATGTGTTTCCTTAATCTAAAAATAATAAAAAATAGTTAAGTAAAGAATTGTAGTGTAATTAAATTATCAAAAAATTAAATGAAAAACTCTTAAATCCTTACCTTCTTTGCGGACTTCAGTTCCCTTTTCAACATCACTTTCAAAGTGGATTCCAAAATCCTAGCTCCTTTAAAGTACAATTTAGTACCCTACATATATATAAACAAAAATTTGATAAGAAATAATATATACAGAATATACTTTAATCAAATCAAAAAACTATAGAATTTTAATTTACTTACATTATATATTTTATTTGAATTTTCGGTAAAAGATGAACCATCACAGTACCTTATCATTATTTTATTCCAATTGAAAAAATCTAAGACATTTATGTGTTAGTTATATATAAATAAAAATAAAGTAGTATAGCTAACAAATAAAATATATAAATATAAAATTGCAACCTGGATTTTGGAACTTGTCGTTGCTCAATATACCACTAAATTTTTGAAGACCAGCTGTTTGGTTAAACAAGAAACTTTGTGTATAGTTCACACATCCATCCAAAGTAGAATACCACCCTCCACCCTAAAATCATATCATCCAAATTACACATAGTAATAAAGAGATACTATATTACTATGTAGTGAGGGGCATTATGCATGTAGTAGGTTGTAGGTATAGATAATACGAGGTAGTGCATGTATAGGAAAGTTATATGTTGTCTCTGATCTATGCATATATTGATGGAATGATGGGGAAGTGGAAAGGTAGATGAGATGCATTGAATTGAAGAAGTTGGTATATATAATTAATAAAAAGTGAAATTGACTATTAAGAGGATGGGACTATGGGAGAAGATTGTAAGCTACTTCTTCTCTCTTCTATTAAGTGATCTGACATGAGAATATGGGTTTGGGTAGATAGAAGAGATAATAAATAAAGTATTATTATTATTATTATTATTATTATTATTATTGAAAATTTCACTTTTGGTCTGTTTCCCTAATTATTATATATAAATCACATTTGGTGTTTGACTATTAAAATTTTATAATTAACTAGATATATAACTATGTAATTTGTATTCATTTAGTCCTGTTGTATAACGAGACCAAAGTGTAATTATTATATCTTGTATAACGACAGTGTCATTTAATTAAAGTATGGTTATTTTATTTGTGAATATGTATTGTATTTTTCATCCCATAATTATTATAATCATATTAATGCTTTTTGTTTATCTCGTTGTTCCAGGCCTACATATGCTAAACTATGTAAACCTAACCATCAGATCCGACTTTATTGCATGTGTACAATTCGAGCACATAACCACATATATACCCATACTTCCTTTTCATCCCAATCAATTACTTTACCCATACTTCCTTCTCATCCCAATAAATTACTTTACTTGAAGAAGATAAGTAGTGCATGGTAAGCTTAGCTTCTGCAGGGGATTTATATGGTAAATTGTGTAAACCTAACCATCGACTTGAATGCATGTGTACAATTCAAGCACATCATATATATATATATATATATATATATATATATATATATATATATATATATATATATATATATATATATAGAAGGATTCTGATGCGGAGAAGGGTTCCTATGCGGTTGTACGAAGAACGCACCTTAAGTACACAAACCACGCACCTTAAGCACACAAACAAAACACATTAAGAGCATAAATCACACCTTAAGCACACAAACCACGCACCTAAGATTTTAAAATGGTTCACCTTAAGTTTCACGCAACTTACGCACCTTAAGCACAAAACTCACACACTTAAGTTTCAACAACTACTCACATTAAGTACACAACCTACGTACCTTAAGCACAAAACTCACGTACCTTAAGCAAAAAAAATAAAAAATAAAAAATTATCAATTGTTTTAAGAACGCACCTTAAATTTGACCTAGATGCAAAAATTATAAAATTGCCACCACATTTTTTTTTTTAATTTTGGTAATCCTGAATGTTGATTTAAGCAAAATCAATGGCTCAAATTTAACCGCACAACCGTACGGAAGACACTCAACCACACGTGAACTGAATTCAGTATCAAGTAACCATGAACCATCAAAAGTGGTAATCTAGAATTGTGTTGATGAATTAATTTGTTTGTATGTTTTTCATAATTCGTTTGTCTTTTAATAATAATAATAATAATAATAATAATAATAATAATAATGTCTGAATAATTGATTAAGTATTCGGTTATAATGTCCAATTGTGCATTCACGGATAAGTGATTATGCATATGAAAACATCAACTAAATGCCCTGTCAATTAAGTATTTTCGTTAAAAACGCAGTGGTATTTCTTTAATTACCATTGTACCTGTTGTAATGCATGATTGTACATTCGTGGATAACTGATTGTGCATTTTGAAATTTTTTACTAAATTTACTATCAATTGTTTTTCAAATGCACAATTATTTTTACAAAAATGTCACCACATTTTTATATTTTCAATCATTGAACATCTTAGATAGACATATCATTTTGATGGTATATAGTGTATGTTTTGACTTAAGTGGCTCTATTACAATGTATTTAGTGGAACCAATACGCTTCCACTGAGACTCGAACTCACATCTTCTAAATGAAAGGCTAACCTGGGTACCATTAAACCAAATAGTCTTGGTAATTTAAGTTAATTTGAAATGACATTATAATGTTAATTACCAAAGGATCTAGTATTTGATACCAGATTTCATTCAATTCTCCCTTTTGAAATTTTTAATGTAAGACCTAGTGTTGTTTCATGGAGGTGGTTCACATCGGTAATAACTTATGCTAGGTTCTAAATTTTTATTTTAATTTTATTTTGAAATGATATTTTAATGTTAACACAACACTAGATTTACTTCAATTCTCACATTTAATTAAAAAATTGAGTTAATACCCAAAATCGTTCTCGACTATAGTGGTTTTTCTCAATTTCGTCCTAAACGACTTTGGTGACCTAATATCGTCCCAGACTTTTGTGTTTCGCTCAATTTAGTCCTCCATTTGTTATTCCGTAAAATTGGTGTTAAATTTAGGGACAATTCAGTAATGTCAATATTGATCTCTCTTTACTTTCAACTTGTGAAGTGCGAAATTCCTCTTTCTTGTACGAATTACACCCAGAATTACTCCCGGACCTGCAAATCAAATTTTATATTCGCAGTTTTAGGAGTAATTCGTAAAAAAAAAAAAAAAAAAAAAAAAAAAAAAAAAAAAAAAAAAAAAGGAATTTCGCAGTTCACATGTCTATGAGTAAAGAGATGCCAATATTAAAATTACTGAATTGTGTATTTATTTAACACCAAATGGACAGAATAACAAATGAGGGACTAAATTGAGCAAAAACACAAAAATATGGGACTAAATTGAGCGAAACACAAAAGTCTGGGACGATATTAGGTCACCAAAGTCGTTTAGGACGAAATTGAGAAAAACCACTATAGTTGAGGACGATTTTGGATATTAACTCTTAAAAAATTTCTCGAAAGACCTAGGCCCTGTTTGGTAAAAAATTGGCTTATAGGCCAATTTTGGCTTATTTGATCACTATTAATTGTTTGATTTAGTTAAAATATCAATAGAAATGTTTGGTTAATTAACTTTTTGCAACTTCAAAAGGCTAAAATTCAAAAAGCTACTCCAAGCAACTTTTTCAATTAGCTTTTTGAGAAAAGAAATTATACCAAACAGCTATCAGGTAACAGCTAATTTACCAAACACTTTTCTACAATCATCTTATGTTATCAACTATTTATACCCTTTAATTAACACAATCAGCTAACAGCAAACAGCTATCAGCTAACAGCCATTTTACCAAACAAGGCCCTAGCCTCTGATTTATGGAGCCGGTTAATTAACATAAGTTAAAACCAATATTGTGGTCTTTCCCTTTTTACAATAAATTTATTTTGAATTGACACTTTAACATTGGTTACAAAAGGATCGAGCCCATTTTACATTTAGTAACACTATTATGTAACGTCTTATGAGTAGAGTGGTTGACGAGGCTGAGGAGTGAATACTAGGTTGATATAACTCATGTAATTGAATAGTGTGTCATTATCCATATCACTCATAATATGAACCCATGTCTAATGTTACAAATGTGAGCTTTTTGCCACCATCACAGATTCAAATTTGTATACTTTTTTTTTTTTTGAAAACTCAAATTTGTATACCTGATTCAATTAACGAGACTTTATTGAAGTTATTTTAAATTCAATTTTTCATAATATTGAGTTTAATATTAATATATAAAATTTATATATTTAGAAACCTAACTACATTAAAAATAATATAAAAATACTAAAGATACTAATTTAAAAATAATTAAAAATACTAAAGAAATTAAGAAAATAAGTAAATAATAAAGAATTGATTTGACTAATAAATAGTAAACATGACAAGTAAAATGGGACAACTATTTATTATCTATAGTGTTTGTTAGTGACTTAGTGTAAGTTTTAGAAATCAGCAAAATCAAATTTTTAACATTTCAATATATGAATGATATTTAGCGTTGGTTTTGATGGTATATAGCGTTTGTTTAAACTTATGCAAGAGTTGTTTTAGTCTCGCTTATATTATTTTGATCGCAAAACTCAATTTGTGGAGATAGTTTGCTTTAAATAGATCATTATTTTTTTCCTTTAATTTAATTTGAAATTACATTTTAGCGTGGGCTACAAGAATATCTAGCGTTAGTTAATGCATACACAAAGTTTACTCCAGTTCTCATATTCATAATTTTTGCACTAGACTTAGGGACGATTCTTGAAGGTGGTTTGCATCTATCGGTTATAACTGATGCTAGGATCCTTTATACCTTAGTCTTCATTGTTCTAATTATACAAACCTTTCATCGATCAAAATAAATTTTTGAAGATTAACGATTCTTCTTATTCCTCTTCTAATTAAATGCATCAGAAGCAACAAAAAAAAAAAAAAAAAAAAATTAACATTAGATATATATCAACAATGATAGGAAGCCAAGACCTTGTGGTCTAATGACACCAAGAGAGGTCGTGGATTTGAGTCTCAGTGGAGGAGCCATTGACTCATACTATATTGTAATACAACAAAAATGGAAATTATTACAACAAAGAAAAGTGAAGTAGGTAAACATGGAGTGATAAGCTAATCTTTTATTATTACTATTACTTTCTAAAAAAAAAAAAAAAAGAAGCTTGCAATCTTTGATGTTATGCTTTATCGTCTGTTTTGATTGATATTTATTCAAGCATGTCGTTGAACAATATAATTATAGACTAATAATATTGAATATAAATATTGGATTTCAAATTACTGAAATTTTAAGATTGACACATATCCAAAAATTCTTTTTTCAAGTAATTAATTTATTTGGTGAATTTTTTTTTACTATGTGTAGCATATGAAAGTCCTATCATGACATATGTTAATAACAATTCAACTTTAATAAAAATTTACATATTTTGAAATTTAAGGGTGTTTGATAAATAGCTGATGGTGTATAGCTATGAGCTGATTGGATTAGTGAGTTTGATTAGTTGATAGTATTGGCTGATTGTAGAAAGATGTTTGGTAAATTAGTGGTTAGCTAATGACTGATTATATACAAAATAATTCTC